ACTAATTATAATCATTATATAATAAATATCATATTAAAATACTAAAACAAAAAATCAAATGAATCAAACATATTATCGATATCGTCATTATCTTCTACATCGTTAAGTTTTCTTGAAATTAAAATATCGAATACCTTTTGCAAATATTCTTTCTTGACATCATCCTTATCATATTTACTAATCCTCTGAATTTATGTTTCCTCAATTTTCTGAAAATTTGCTGCTGAGATCTCATTAGAATTTTGCAATAATTTTTTATATTCGGTTATAATTAACTCGATATTTTCCCTATCATCGATAACTTCAAGCATGAACCCCAACAGGTTATTGAAAGAGAATCCAACACTCTTAATAAGCTTTGAATAATACTTGATCATTTGATAATTTGAATTTGGCAAAAAGCGAATTCACTCAGTACCCTTGATTCTTTTCTTTGAAATAAGCCATACGTAATTATCAATATTTTTTGATAACTCTCTAGCCTTATCAATACACTTTTTTGTAAAAGATTTTGCCAATAAATCTTTATCCTCTGCACCAACTACCCAGATATCGTAAAATGCATCTAGAAATGATTTTCCATTTTTAGTTTTTTCATACGCACTATTAATCATCTTCTTCACATGATCAACTTTAATACATGGTGTTAACTGTCTTTTATCATCCCTACTCAAAGTCTTCTTATACTCATCTACTATGGATGAAATCTGTGCATTTATATTTCTAGTGTAATTGCAAATTTTTCTAGCTCTATCAGTCATTCTGGTAGGAAAATATTTTTGAAGAGAATTAACAGGTGAAGGTCTCTTTCCAACTGGTTGAGTATTTAATAAATTTATTCGATATTGGCGCAACTGATGTAATTTCTTAAGCGAACGTGGTAATGTTAGATACTGTTGATCAATCTCAGAATCTATTTTTCTCTTCCAAGTATTTTCCAATTCAGCAGATTTCTCCTTGAGATTAATCGCAAATTCAAAATTATCATATTTTTCATTAGCATACTTAGTCTTCCTCTTGTTCACTAAATCCTCAACCTTACGATTCCCAGTCAACAAAGACTGTTTTAATCCCAATATATCTTTTGCGAGGTCAGAGTTATTATCAAAGTCTTGTAAATCTTGATGCAGATCTATTAGATCAGAATTGCTATCGTATAACTGATCTTTGGTTTCAGCCTAAAGCATATCCAAACACTATCGACATAAACTATATAAATCATCCTTCTTTAAATCATCAGATAAAAATTCATCTCGTATCTCGGCAATATGCTCGTCATAATACCCCTTATCCTGCAACCTGCTCAATACATGTTCATTTCTCATACTATTCTTAAGATTGTTAAATGTTTTATCGGTCAACTTCTTCAATTGCTCTTTTCGAAGACGTTGAAGCTCTTTTTTTTGAGATTCGCTCAAAAATGTATCATTCTCGATCAATGTATCATATATCTTCCCATCTACTACATCACCAATAAGAGCTCGTTCAAGCTCACCCTTGAACTATTGATATTTCTGCATACCACGTAAATTCCACTTTTGCTCATTTCTTATATGTTCCAATTCACTCTGCTGTGTATTAGTTAAATAGTTTGCAGAAATTATTTAATCCCTCCAATCAACATCAACCTTGACTATATCATTTTCACTAAGTATACCTTGTCAGATGCGATCATACTCTTCTCGCTAACGAATTTCTGATATCTTATTGGTAATTCTTCTTAAAAGAGAAGGTATCTGTTGCGCTAATAACACTTCGTCATCAGCAATAGATGTATGTAAAGCATTCAGCTCAATAATGGAATTTGTATTATCAATTAAATTAGAATATCGATTGTAATGCTCTACCCTCAATTGGGCTAATTTCTCACATCGAATCCTATGTAAATCATTTTTCAAGCTAGGTGTTAACCCGGAATTGTCAATTTTCAAAAACATCTCTTTTCCATCAACAAGCTTAATAGCATCTTTACACGTAATTGCCTCTATCTCGCGTCTTAATTGCTCATATAACTTATTTTTTTCCTTAGATAGTTTGGAATTCAGAACTGGAGTTGGGGTCGGTTCTAATAGATTATCTATCTGTTCAGGTTTATTAATTTGTTCTTCAGTATTAGTTGGAATGATTTCCTCAAAATCATCCATCTCAAGATCTTCAGAAATATTGGGCCGATTGGCATTTTCAGGATCTTTTGGTTGACTGTTTACTTCTAACAATTCAGGGTTTCCCCAAAAAAACTGCTCTATTGCATCCACAAATGCCATTGTCAAGTCAATCTCTGAATCCTCATAACCCTTATAATAACTTAATTGTTTTCTTTGTTGATCATGATAACAACAAGACACATAGTTATTTGAACCAAATTTACATTTACAACTCATTGTTGTATTAACATAAGATTTTAAGATAATATTGTTTATTAATAAAAAAAAAAAAAAAACATGATATTTATATATTTTTAAAATAATAAAAAAACTAATCATCCGCATCCTCGTCAACAACTTGATCAATATGCATATTATCGTTATTGGCTAGTACAATGATAAATTCCTCTCTAAGCTGTCTAATAAGAGATCTACTCAATTCCATCTTACAGTACCCTCAAATGACTCATCATAGCGATAAGCAATCTCAATCGACCTATCGCTCATGTAAACAGGTATGCCAGTTTGTCCCGCCAAAAATGAAAATTGTTCCCTTAATATATAAGACATCTGATTAGGTATATACCTCCCATTATTGTTAGGAAGTTTGGCTCGAAGTCTACGCATCTTGAAAAACCCAGGCATATAATCAATCATGATAATAAATGCAAAATTTGCGGTATCAAATATGGTGCTATCACCCTCGCCCTCTTTTTCAAGTTTACAAACCTTCATCTCATCTTTTGAGAATTTATAACACATATAGAAATTCTAATCTTTTAACAAACAGCCTGTGTTATCACACTCAATCTCTCCCACATGATGAGCCAAAACATTTAGTTTATCATTTCTAATCTTTAGATTATCCAAATTTTTGACATTATGAATCACATCATTAAGTACAATATTTTAAGCAGATTTCTTAGCTAAAGCCTTATCACAAATACGAACTAAGTAAAAATATAATCGCATCTTTGATAATAATAGAGTCAACAAAGTACTCTTTTCAACTGAAGGTAACTTGTAATGATCTAACAATTGATCAGATCTTAACTCAGCTTGTTGAGGAGGCTGTTCTTCTTCTTCTTTATTTTGAACTGGTCGTATAGGAGGAAGAATCATCTGCTCCCAAGAAGCAATGCCAACCAGATTCCCAATTTGTCTAGTATGAATAGAGGTGAATCTAATATAAATTGAAATGTCTGAAAGAACAAGATGAGTTGAAAGCCATCTATCATTTTGTTGTAGTAAACGCCAAGCCCAAATTCACTTATAAAATGTATCATTATAAGTCAAAGTTTGCACCTCATCATTAGAAATCATAGGGCCCAAATTTATTCGATCAACCTTTGAATTAGAAGGTCAAAATTGCCTGCACACGTTATATGATGATTCATCACCAACTATGCATACCCCAATTGAGCAAACCTTTTTAGATTTTGGTTCAGGTCCTAGCAATGAAGCAACTTTTCATTTGCTCATAATATATTTTTACCGCAACAAGTGCTAGAAAAATGAGCCTTGAAAGTTCTTTTTACCGGTAACTGTTTTTTTGTTATCTTTGATTTTTTTATGGTTTTAGTTTGTTGAAATTTCTTGGGTGTTGAATTTTTTTTTTTGGTTACTTTTTTGCTCTTTGTGCGTGCCAGATTTAAATAGTTTTATCGTCGTAAACGTCTAATGCCCTAATGGCTTCCTGGATTGTTAAATGAATATTTATAGCTAAAAGTGTAAAGTAGCTTTTTAAGATATACAAGAAATCAATCACCTTGCTATTGCAAAGTCGATAGAGCACAACAGATGCAATAAAAATAAAAAGTAAATAGCAGATATTGAAATTAATGTAGGTAATGTACAAAAGAAAATTAGACATTTGTTTTTAGTAAAAATAACAACTGACAGAGTATTTATACTTTTATTTTAGAAAAAATCTCAAAGCTTTACATTCTCAAGAATCATTTTATACAATTCAGGATCACTATTCTTTACTCCTAAACTATCTATCTTTTTGAGTAATACCCGGGTTTGTTCCTTATTCAAAAGTTTTAAAGTATTCTTTAATTCATCTAAATTATTTTTATTTGGTTTACTATTATTATTATTATTCATCAAATGACCCAACAACTGATTTACCATATTATCTCCCGAGGCATTTTTTGCCTTACTAGTACTAGTCACATGATCCAACAACTTATTCGTCACATTAATATTACTGATGGCCAGCATCTTAATCAAATCATCCTGACTCTGCAACCTCTTGTTATAGTTGGTCTGCATGGAATCAATAACCTTCCCATATGCGTCGTGCGTATCTTTTAATTTTTTTACCTCATTATTATTTATAGTTTTTACAACATCGGCATGATTTCCACTCAAACTCGTCACCACCTTTGTTTGGTTATCGTTTAAATTCTTGATGACTTCTTTATGATTATCACTTAGATTCTTAATAGTCTTCTCATATGAACTGGTTAAATTTTTTACGGTCTTTTTCTGATCATTACTTATGGATTTAATAAGGTTTGCATTATCATTATTTATTTTTTGTATTGATTTATTTTGCTCAGTTGTTAAAGTTTCTACTATCTCCTTTTGTTTGGCCGCAAGAGTCTCAACAGTTTTTGCATTTGTATAATTTGCATACTTTGATATAGCAGTGTTGGAAGATGCAACTACACCAGAATATCCACGGCCATAATTACCACCAGGAGCAGCGATATTAGAACCTTTTAACTGTTGCTTCTTTTTTTTAGGAGGTTTATTGGACGACATTGCTTTTTTTTAAAAAAAAAAATAAATTATATCTTTCTTAATATTATATTTTATTTAAAAATTTATTTATTATAACAATAACACATACATATACTTATGTTTAAAAAAAAAATATTGAAGATTTTTTGGCCATGTTAAAAAATACAACAAAAAATATCAGCGATTCCTAAAAGGAATCGCCTACTTATTACAATCTGATTAAATAGTATTTATGTATAAAATGACGAAATGATTTCACCACGTGCTTTACGAGTTCTTGATCTTTTTTTCGTTACAGCCTTTTTTCTTTTGTTTTTTGTCAC